ACAAATAAAAAWTTTATAGTGCACATTTTCAAATTTTAAATGCATATAAATCGTTTTTCCCTGGGACTCAAATTACCTACTACTTATTTTTCCCCGGGACTCAATTTACCAACCCCGTTTGTCAATACATCTAAATAGTATTTGGTAATAATTGAATATAGTATATTCAATATACCATTAGAAAATATTTGTTWTGCTTTTGATTGTTATTTTTTAACGCAGTTAACACTAAAAACTATAAGAATAAAAATAAAGTTGTTAGGTATTAAAAAATTTTTTTGTACATTATATTAATATGTTTATAGAGCCATAATTGAAATTTTTTCCCAGCTTGTAATACACTTATCATRTGTATCTTAATGCATTTATTTCATAATGAAGTAWAATAATAAAATTATTGTAACAAAATTAAAGACAAAAATGGCTTTATATTATATATATGGCTATATCCCACATTAAGTTGCCTATTTATAACGCCTTAATATGGTATATAATTTTTATAATGCCAAGTACTTACGAGAGCAATACAGATCATAAAGATTAACGTTTTAAGTCTTTTTTTTTCACAAATAGGTTTTTTATAATATTTTTTTTATCACGAAAACAAGTCAGGTATTTTTTTTTATTGAGTTAAGGCTTCAAAATCTGAGGTAATTAGTCAGTTTTCATGGGAAGAAGACAGTTGATTTGAACCACGTGTATATGAGACGAGGATTCATCACTAAAAACCTGAGTGGTCAAATATCCAGAACTAGCAACGAAAGCCGATGTTAGACTTCAGAACACGTTAGTGATTGCAGGATGCAGCCAACTACCGTGCCACACCAGACCCCAATATAGTTTTTTTTTATTTTGTACTTAGTATTGTATAAGTAAGGAACGATATTATGCTTTTAAGGGGCTTAATATAGGCAAATCTGGTAAAATATAATCCAAGAAAAATTGAAGAATTATTATACAAGAAAAAAAAAACATTGACTAAGGGTTCTATGGTAATATCTCGGGTCGTTCGTTATTTCGAGTTTTTAAGTTTTCAATTGTATAGCAACCAAAATTTCTAAATTTAACATTTTGCAGGTAGATGTAGCACTTCATTAATACGGCGCAGCAAACAGAATGAATCCCGGCTAACCATAAATATCAAAAAATAAATTAACGTTAAGAGCAGTTTACCGGGCGGAATATGTTTGAGATCTTCTTGTACTCGGGATAGACATCCGGTCAGAGCGGTGGTCACTTGCTTCCGACGGTCGTCCTCGGATTCGTTGCCACCGCCGGAATGGTCGACGTCGCCTGACGTCTGCAGCGAGGARACATCTGTGATGGCTGTSCCCGCCGTCGTTTCGGGGACCGTATGCATGTCGATGACGTGGCCACAGGTGTCCACCAGGTGGACAGTGTTGACATACACGGCCGGTTGCCGTTGCGTCGGGCCGTCGTCCGGCTTCGTCGGTCTAACGGCGTTTGGTGCGGGTCGTCCAACGCGTATGGCCGCTCCGACGACACCGCCGCTGCCACCGTTTCGCTGTGGCCACGGTACGCTACCTCGTGGCATGCTGCTGTAGGCTCTTAGTTCGGGTGACCCTCTGACGGCCGACCACGGAGATGAGTCTATCGACAGAAACACACATAACGCGTTAAGCACACGAAAAGAGAACGAGGAGACTAAACGAACAAAAACTAACGTAACGAAAAAGTATGACAACACACACGTAGGCACGCGCGCGCTGGCGGGACGGTTGCCTGTAGGAGGAGGAGACGGCGTCGATTCATTAAGATCAACGGACTTTGGTGGGCAGACTCGTTCACTGGTGTGCATGTGTGTGTGTGTATAATGTTATGAATAAATGAAATAATATTGTAATATATATATTATATGTTTATGAGATAGACGCGAAAAGAGTTGTAGAAAATGAAACGACAATGAAGACGTCGGAGGAGGAGGAAGAAGAGAAGAAAGACTGCGATGAATTTATACAATTGTTTCCAAGTTGTATATATTATACGCTCGAGTTTCGTAATGAATGAAATATTAATAAATAATAAGACAAAATMTGTATATACGCCATGCCATCATACGTCGTGAACAATAATGTGCTGATATAACGATTTATCGTCGTTGTCAACGTACCTTTAAACGTCAGAGACCTGCTCAGTTTAGTTTCGTTTTTTGGAAATTTCATGTTTTCTGGCGACAAAAAATCAACGATCCATTCTTTCGCCGGCTCCAACGATCTGAAATGACGTTATATATTTTTATCGAACATCAAATTATATTTCTTATARTTATAGTATTTACATATCGTCATGATGTTTAATATAAGGAAAAAACTATAACATATTATCAATTCAAGATATTAAACGTCAAACATTTGTAAGTWCTTGTTTGAAAACCCACGACAGTTTTATTTCACAGAATAATAAGATTTTGTTCCTTGAGCTTAAAAGTGTAAAGGCATAARTTCACTTAAATAATTTTCGGTAAGCAGACAATTTTTTTGTCATACCTGCATCAAAAATTTAATTTTCGATACCGATTGAAGATTAAAAAATTAACTCTTTCTATCCAGTGGACAGTAAATWAATGTTTCCGTCAGGAATTCGGAAAAGTTTTTGTTTAAATCAGATTAATATATTATCTACAATCTAAAATCTATTATATGAACGTATAGCCTGTATAGGTACGTTTTCCTTGTAGTATGCGGCGTCTAGCGTCAACTACCAGCTGGTCATAGTCGGCATAACAATGACATGCTATTCCAAAAAAAAGGTTAAAACATTCTTATATTGATATTAATTTATAAAAAATAAAAAATGTATTAACATAATAMCTAATTTTTTTCGATRTGAAGGAAACTATTGTGTATATTTTTTAACTTGTTACACTCTTGTAGGAACTTAGTATTTCCTAATCTATCACCATGTTTTACAATAGCTTAGTATATTATCCGGTAAAACAGGTGCTTCAAAGTGTTTATATAAATAAAGGTTTCTATGTATTGGAAGTTAGACACATAATATATGGTAAGTAGAAATTTCAAAAAGATATATTCATCATTGTCACTATATTAATAAAATAACCTATACGGCTATACCTATTTTTAATCTATAATTTTTAAATTATTTGTTCGGTGCTAATAGTTAATAGTCATTACGAATTGATAATTTAATATTGTGTTCAATAGTTATAATGTTCCTCATATAAAATTCATACACTTAAWTTGGATAATATAATAATTATAAATTGGATTTATAAACCTGGATTAAATGAAATGATTTATGATTTATTATTGCTTTCGGATTTATAATAATATGTATATACTATGCAATTGAYMGTCTTATGCCAAGGTAAACGAAAGTAAAATGTGTTTACAACACTCAGTTAATGTATCTTATATATGTAGCCTGTACCAACGTCCAACAGTGATGCAAAAAAAAAATTAAACAKCATAAAKAAGTGAATATTAATAAATAACTAACATTAATAAGAAGTAGAATTAGAAATTAGCACAAATAATATTATTATTTTTTGAATTTTCTGAAATATCGAAAAAACATTAGTTTAAAAATAAGGATTAAAAAGTCATCTGAACAAGAATATAATACACTAATACATGTAATAATGTTTTTGTCACGCCTGCACTGAAATTTTAACTTTCGATAGGTACCTGCTAAARCKTTGAAAARTAGCTAGATCTCGTCTAGAGTACAGTAAGTGCTTTTGTCTACCCAGTTAATGTCTTATCAAATTATTAAACCTGCATGAAAGTATCGATGATATATTTTATTGTTTGATATATCAAATWTGAGACGATAGGAGGGTTACGATTCCAGTTCTGTTCTATGACATAGTTYGACAAAGCTAGAAACAGATAATAGCAAGAATAGAACATTAGGATTTTTGGATTATTGTAACATCGATATGTATATAGATGCTGGTGGAGGCGGTAGAGGCGTGACACATAATATAGAATGTATGGCTCGTGCAGGAAGGCAATAATTTCAGTCTTGGGCGAAAGCAGAGTTTGCCTGTGAGGCTTGTGCAGCACACGTCATCCGTGAATGAAATAACTCACTCCCCTTACTACACAATATACTATTAAGCTTAATTATTTTCCTCGTATGATTATTAAGTTTAAAAAAACTTAATATTTTCTATACCGTAAGGGAAAAAATTTTATTATTATTTTCTCAGAAGTTGCAATTATATATGCGATCCATTTATTATAATTCAACGTATCACGAAATAACGCAAAATTGTGGTGATTAAAATACTATTTATTTATTTATTTATTTATGTTCGGGTGCTACTGTAATGCTAATATAATATGCTGAGAAAATAATTGATACAATCGGATCGCGATTAATTGATAAAACTAATTATAATGAATCGATTTATATCATTTTTTTTTTTTGGCATATGAAGGCCTAAAAAATTGTTTATGATGTATATAAGATGTGATAATTTTTTAATATTTAATTATTTCGTGAAAATTTCAAGTTTTTTAATTAAATCACAAAATCGATTTTAACTGGTTTTAAAATTTTTTGTTTTTCCTCAATATGTTTTTGTTTTTCTGACTTATACATTTTGAAAAACACTAAGAATATTCTTTTATTTTAACCTTCTAAAGTACCAACTARATCGAATTTACTAACAGAAACTTCCTCAAAATTAAAAACCAAAGTATTTTCACTGCTTCAAAATGTGAAGACAAAAAAAATCAGAATCTTAAATGTAATATGTAATAGTTCTTCATTAGTTARACTTATACTGTTCTAGACCACCAAATGTATTATATATGCACAGTGTTTTTTGAAAAATAAAGATATTAGTTAGAAATTTTGAGTTGTAATTCAAAATTATTCGCAATTACGTATACACTTTGGACACAATATAATTTCAAAATATTTAGAATAGGTAAAATTAAACCATGAACCTATTATTTACACTGTTCAGTGGTGATTTATAAAAATTAATTCACTAACATTTAAAACGGTATACYATCATAAAACCTAATTGATAATATTTTAATACATGCAATGTTTTTGGAAAAAAACTAGACTAGTTCATCATACCGTGCTATTCGGGTTAGGACGCGCTCACGTTTTAATATCAAAAATAACAGAGTAAACGAACTAGACATTCCTACTGAATGTAAAATTATCCGTTAGGTATGATTTATTAAGGCATAGTAATTTTTTGTTTACCAGTTTCAATAGTGTGCTGTTAGTTTTCATGTTAGAGTGAATTAACATATTGTCAGTCTTTTAAGAAAAATCATTATCTGTGTTATCCCGCTGATTTTTTACGATATTTTAATTTTTAAGTGAGTTATGAACATGTAAAATATTAATATATGAAAATGTTTAGAATTTAATTTAATTTTCATAATGTAATAGGAAATTATATAAATAAAATAACCAAGTACACAAAAATGTTTGTCTT